ATTTAGGTAACTAGCAAAATGCTGCTTAGAAAGTTTCAAAATTCAAAGTACCTCTAGCGAGAGGCTGAAAAAAACGAATTTTCCCAAAATCTTTAATGTTTTCATGACTTTATTTGTAGTGGGATTTCAAAATAAATTGCAGATTAACATTGACACTTTTTCTCGTTTACAGGATGGCGTGATTAGAATTTCAATATGACGTTCGTCTCCTGTCATCCAGTATCAAATTTATTTTTTCTTATGGTCACCACATTGACCGTGAAATTATCACATGGCCATTTGTTTCGTATTCCAGATTTATCACAAAATCATTTTTTCTATTTCCTGACTTTACGTGAGAAATTATTTCAAAATTAATTACATGCTGTCATTGTCTCCTCTGCAAGATGGCGTAGTTAAATTTTCGATGAGGGGTTTCTTCTTTAATTTTGTCCATTTAAATGGACCTTTCAGTCCTAAATTCGGTGATATATTTCCTTAGTTGGTCATGAATTACTTGTTAGAATGAAAATTATGAGGACATGAAAAAGTTATGGTGAAACATGAACACGAAATGTAATGATGGTAATAACAATAATGATCACAAATAAGCAGAAGTAAATCATAGTAGATGTTCAAAACCTTGCCTGTTATTTTGTAAGCAAGGCCTGACTCTTCTCTGAACATTGTTCACTGCTCGGTGTATTTCCCTTTTTATCGGTCTTCCAAACTCTGTTACAATCTTTAATTTGAGGTATGGTCTGGTATATTATGAAACAAATGACTATTTGATAATTTCGAGACTTATTCTTCTAGCAATAACGAAGCTTTCGATTTGATGTTGAAGTGTATTTAAGATTCCACCAGTATTCACTTATTTTTTTTTCTGAATATTTCTTTCCCAAGCTGCGTAGTTTTGTTTATATCGTGGAAAGACCATCGAGGTGGACACGGTACAAGACCTAGACAGCCCCAAACATCAAACTATTTAGTTAGAGCCCACTAAAAGGCAGGGTGTTCTGAAATTTCGGGTACAAAATATATTGTTACACACAGAAGCTTGCCAAATAACTACTCATAGGATGCTGACGTTGATTGGCCAGATAAGCAATTTAAGGTTGAAAAAACAACGAATTGCAAGCATACATTTCCTTTTTGTCACTAAACTAGATCGTGTAATATTCCGTGTAGGGCCTTAAAAGCTAAATAGCTATTGGATGACATACACATTTGAGGATAACTGCTGTTTTCATAAGTCGCGCTTTTCGCGGTTAGGTAAGCTTTTTGATGTTAGTGAAAGCCGTTTCTCTTTTTTTACTAAACTGAATCATATAATATTCCGCGTAGGCCCTAAATGTTAAAGCTATGTGATAATTAACAGGTTGTGGGAAATTTTTTTATAAGGGTAGGTATATAGTAAAGCGCTACGGCGGAGAGCATCCGCAAAAACTGTGAGTTATATAAAAAGGAGGTTATTCTCAAAACTTGTACGTTATCCCCTAGTTATTATTTGGCTTCAAATTTTTTCTAACCTCGAACTGGTTGACGTATCAGCCACCTCTCTTTAACATATGCTGCACCAAGCGACTTACCAAAATTATTTGATATTATACAGAGCAGTTCATCGTTAAGGGATACCATGTTTTATTATTTTATCAAATAGTAAAGCACAACAATAATAATAAAATAATTTATTACTAAATCCATATTTAAAGTAAGAAGACTCAGATTTTAACACAGCGTAGATGGTCGAATAAGCCATAATTTATCAAAAAAGCACGGCGGAGAGATACCAGTATATCCATTTTTGTAATAATAACGTCACGGAATTCCAAAAAGTTTCAGCATCCCAATCGATTCTGCGTAGGAAGTTGGAAATTAACTGCGCATCAAGTTTTTCAAAAACTCATATGGAATCGAAAGGTTTCTGGGTATGTCCATTTGAGTTCGATACATCTTTGCCACATTAGAAACCTTGTGTTAAATTTCAGAAAATATCACAGAGGGATTCAAATTCATTTACTGAGGATGTTACAAACAATAGGAATAGTCATTGACAAAACACAAAACACTAGGCACAAAATAAAAGTTAAACAAGACAAATAACGATAAAACAGATTATACACAATTAAAACATTAAAAGTGTCTACAAGAGAAGAACTCTCTGATACTACAAGAACACTGATCAATCATAAACCCTCTTAAAATGTGTTTGAAGCATTTTACGTTTATGTGTGACTTTAATCTGGAAGGTTATTGATATTTTTTTAGCGGACTGGCAGACAAGCAGGGCTCTCGTGGTACCCCAAAAATCTAATATATCGCTTCCGGAAATTGACATGTCAAGTAATAAGGCGTGTAAATAGATTTTCATAAAGTTGGGTTTTAGAAATAATTGAGGTCATAATCATTTTCGGATTCCCAAGTACTAATGCGACTTCGCGAGATGTTTGAAGCTGATGCTTCCATGTGTCGCTCCTGCAGCGCATTTTGCCAAACCTCACTACTCGAAACAGATTCCGGGTAGCAACTTCTCCGTCGTAGCCAAGCAATTAGAGTCCTCAGTGAGGTGTGAGAAATCGCAGCAAGCTAGAAATGGCGATTACCAGCGACGCGTGTCGCAGTGTCCCGCTCCACCGAAGATGATCTCGAATTGTCTATTGATGTGTTGTGCTGACAGGTAGCCAGCCTCCCACCGTAAACAAGCTGTTGCACAGATACCGAGTGCACCACCCTAATGCAAGGTAAAGCCATGGTCGTAATAAATGGTCAATTATTATGATGCGCTTCTCCCCCTTCGGCGATGTGATGTTCGATTTGACGGCGCATATGAGCATCAACCGCTTAGTAAGGTTGTCGGCTATCAAATACGTTATGAATTTATATAAATACCAAAGAGTGGTTATATCAAAAGAAGACACGTTGCATAATGTCTTTTTTTTGTTACATCAACGCGTACTGATGCGATAAAAACTAGACGCATCTTAGCTAGTTTGATGCTAAACAGTAAACTCGGCAAGTTTGCTGCTTGGCGATTCGCTCATAGATGGCTCTGGATGTAGAGGAACTGCAGCATATCTGGAATACTGGTTTATTTTTTGGAAATAAATTGTAAGATAAACGGGATAGCAAAATGAAAAATGCATTAAATTATTGGAAAATCATTCAATTTTAATGATATAAGCAATCAAACAAAACAAAAACCAGTAACCCCATCAAAATATTTATCAAAATAAAAGTGTCAAAATCGTAAATTTACTTATGGTGCAGGTAATTTGTAATATAGTATTCCAAATTATTCACCTTTTTTGACAATTTATTACACTGTTTTTTAAATGACATTGATATAAGACCTGTCACCCGCTAGTTGTACTGTGCTAGACCGTGGATTCGCGAAAAAATCCTTATAGTTAGTACTACCATTTTTTTTTGTAAAAGTCTGGTCAAAAGCTTCTCTTTTCAATTTTGGAGTGTTGTGAAATGGACTTTAGCAGTGATGAGTACGCCGATATTATTTTTGTGTACGGGTTTTGTAACGGAAATGCTTTAGCGGCTACTCGGGAGTGTCAACGTAGATTTCCTAATAGACGCCAACCTATCCCAAAGGTCTTTACCCGTTCATTTCTAAGACTTCAGTAATATGGAATTGCGAAAGTTCCTGGAGCTAGAGGCTATGGTGTCCTGTTCAAGGGGAAATGGACGTGATTAATTTGGCGTTGGATGATCCTAGTACAAGTACTAGGTGGATTGCAGCCCAGTTCCCATGTTTCCAAAGTCTTGCGTGGAGAATTTTAAATCGAGAATTTCCACATCATTACCATCGGCAAAACGTGCAATGTTTGCAACCCGGCGACAAAGTGCAACCGCGAAATTTTTGTGAGTGGTTACTGCAAATGCATAATTAAAATGCAGATTTTACTGATTTTTTTTTGTGGTCCGGTGTATTCCTTTTCACCGGAAGTGGAACCTTTGATTCTCATAATGAACATATTTGGTCGTTACAAAATCTTCGTTCTGTAAGAATCCACTCGTTTCAACACCGATTTTCTAAAAATGACTGGTGCAGCATTTTCAATGGCCAACTGTTTATGCACGTATTGCAACAACATCTAAATGCAAACTCATACTTTTCTTTTCTAGAGAATTACATGGAAAATGTGTTAGATGATGTTCCGTTAGCGACAAGAGTACGAATGTGGTATCAGCACAAAGGTGCCCCACCCCATGTTTGTCGTAACCGCACGGTTAAATAATCTCTTTAGACAACGATGGATTGGCAGAAACGGACCCGTACATTGGCCTGCGAGGTCTCCTAATTTGAACCACCTGGATTTATTTTTGTGGGGTGCTTTTAAACAACTAGTGTAGGCTGAAAAAGTTAAAGAAAGAATAGATAGTGCGTTTTTGAACATTTATTGAAATAAAGCTTTGATTATCTAATTTGTTCTTTCGAGGAAAAATTGTTACCTAAAAGACACCCTTTAAAATGCGGTCCTGTGTATGATGTATCCTTTTTGGTCACGACTTGTGACAATATTTTACTAACCCCTTATTATTTTCACGAAAACAATGCACTCTAAGAAACACAAGAGCAATTATTTGTAGCAAATTGAAGGTAAAATTCGAAAAATTGCGCGTTTTGAAGAAAAAAAAACTGTGACGTACTATTTTTGTTTGGAAAATAATGCCACTAATCTCCTGTATCTTCGCCACTGGTCCACGTTAATTTTAAGTAAAGACTCTTGAATGTGGACAATACTTAGATAAATCCACATACCAAATTTTAGTTCATTCCAGTTAACAGTTTTGAAGATATTGAAAAAAATATTTTTTAGTTATAAACTTCAAAACCTCGTATCTTTTTAATAAAGCCCTCGGGGAACAAATATTACATAGAAGCCCCAATGAGGTCCTGTGTATGATGTTTTATTTTTGGTTACGACTTGTTAATCACCTTATATAGATTGAGACAGTACTTCGTTTTCGAAGCATTTTTCCAGTTAGTTTTCTCTTTGTTCCAGGGCCGTAGTAGAGGTGCTCCTACGTGCCGGCTTCAGCGTAAACATGCGTACAAAGGCCGGTACTGCCCTGCACGAAGCCGCACTTTATGGGAAGGTGGACGTAGTGCGCGTGCTGCTGGAACACGGTGCCGACACTGGTGCCAGGGACTCGCAGGGCAGGACCGTATTCGACTTATTGGGGATGTTCGACACGGCGCACGCGCAGCAGGAGATCGTCAATATACTCAAGCGTAAGACTATTGTTGTAGAAACAGTGATAGCTAATTTAACTTTCCTATACACAAATACTCGACAGCCCAAGATGCAAACATCCTTATATGTGTAATTTGCGAATAAATTTTCTTTTATCACCAGTGCAGTAACATTCAAGGATAATAATGGGCAAATTAATTGTCAGAATACTGTATGATAAATGTTTTCGATATGACGTGATAAAAAAACAAGGCCTGTTTATGGGGATTCTGAAACATCGTAATACAGTTAAACTAAAAAAAAAAAACAGAAACACTATTTTTATATTTTCATATCCTAAATAAAATTTGGTATGTTTTGTTATATCTATTATATCCCGATGTTCTATTATTCTCTTTATATATGTTATCTTTACAGGACATAAAAGAGGATTACCTTTAGTAGACAGCGACGGGGAAAGTATAAGCCAACCTTTTCCGACTGTGCCAAATACAGACTCAGACTTAGGTAATTAAAAATAGCGGTCTCATAGACCTTTCATCATTAGTTCTTTTACTACTGTTCGACATGTATTAAGTTTTTTCAGTCGGATTTTATCTGCTTTGTCATATACAGGGTGTGCTCAAAGTTGGGACTTTCTTTAACACGGCATATAGATTTTGGAAAAATAAGCAGCTTAGTTCTAGTATTCATATTATCCATTACGGCTTGGAAAAGTCTATCAAACTTAAACAAAACCTAATTCGGTCATGCACCTCGATCAGATCAAACGTGGACACGTACGATGTGGATCTGTACTCAGTCCAGACGCTGGCCGTGTTTGTAAACAAAACCTTTACACATCGGTTCTAGAAAAAATGGCACACTCTTACAGCAACATCGTTTGTTCATATTATTTTCATTTACGGTGAGCGTCTTCGAAATGCTACCGAGGCTTCACGAGTGCATCTAGATCGTTTTTAAAGATCCTTCGGTATTTCTCTTTTGTTTGGGGAGAAATGAAATGCTTAGGTGAACACGGTTGACGAACTACTTGTGTAAATTTAGCTGCTGCACTCATTCGGGAAAAGCGTACACCGATTCTTGGCTGAGTCGAGCACATGTGTCTGTAAATCTGTCGCAGACAACTTTGAATAATACAAGTGACAAGCAGTACTTGAAATTTCTTTTCTGTGAACGGTGGGTACTTTTTCATTTTTCTTTTTACTTTTTGTTTTACCGTATATTAGCTTGTTATTACAAACGTATTCCTGAAAAGTCCCAACTTTCAGGATACCATGCACTTTGTTTTTGCTGAATGGCTGGAGTTTCGCAGCTTGAAACTGGATACCTATGGATGATGGAATAGTCTGATATTTAGACGACTGTTGTGTAGGAGCTTTTTATACTGTTTTTTTTTATTCAGGGAGCCCATACGAGAACGTTCGTCCATCCTCGAAAAGCGCCAGATCCAACGCTACGGATCCTTCGCCCAACACTTCGCCACAAAGGTGGGACTTCCATACGCAGGCCAGGACTTCGCAGACATTTGACGACAGAAGGGTCTCTGGTGTATCGGGAATGTCTGTGTAAGTTTCAACGTAGTTGGTTTTTTTATACTGTGTATTAGGATAGTCTTTATGTATCAGTACAGTCTAACGAGATTCGTGCTGTCACAGTATATACGTAATAATGTGTGGCAACCACGAGAGTTTTGTAATAGTTTTAACTTGTAAACCACGTCAGTGTATTATTAATTCCGGAATATTCCAGGAAGTATCTTAGCATTTGCTCGGAATAATGTTCTCAATAATTCTTTGCATACATTTTTTTCAAAATGGACAACCTTTAACGAAATTTTATGTTTTCAGGACCAAATAATGTGTCATTTTTTAAGCAAATTCTCCCGAGATCGTTGAGAATATATATTAACAATGAAAAATGTCGTCAAGTAGATTGACTTTATACTTCCGATGTCTCCGAAACGGCTTGTTCCATCTAGTTCAATTTCATATACCCACAGTGGTATCAAAAAGATGGTTTTGTCAGAGCCATGAACGTACTAGTTGGGCGTTTCATGAAAAAGTCATCAGATTATATTTCTTTGGAGCTCGATCATCAATGTCTGATAATTGATTATAATCCGTTTATATGCTATGTGATCAATACTATTACTACCCGAAATCAAGTAACCTCATTGAATTATTATTGTGAGTCATCCGCATCGGCCGAAGCTACATACGGTGGAAGCCTAGTATTTTTCTATCTGGCCCACTGCAGGTTCATATGCATGAATGTGTACGATTTTATATCTGATTGATGCGTAGTACTACTGGTACCAGAAGCTTGTTTATAATAGAACTCCTTTCACTGGTAGCACAGAAGCAATATTTACAACCCCTACTCCCTAAAAATAATCAGGAGCGACTGAAACGTGAAAAAAACAAAGTTTAAGCAATCCTTAATTTTTCAGTCTTCTGGCCCGTAGCGCTGACGCCACTTGATCGATTTTAAAAAATTACAAGCCTTTTTGTCCTTGGCGCAGTAATAACCTTTTTGAAAAATATCATCAAAATCCGAGCGGTACTTACCAAGTTGAGAGGGGTAAAGAATTAGCAGACAGACCGATGGATATGACTGACATGATTTTTTGTGATGTAACATCCAAAAACGTATATCTCATTTTCGCAATTTTTCTTGATTTCAATATATCCTCGCCAGTGACTTGATAAGTAAAAACAACTTTAACAACATTAAAAATTTAATATTTTTTCTTGGGATCTAAAATAGCATATTTTGTACCTTTCCAAATGGCTTATATCTCGAAAACTATTAAGTTTGAGAGAAAAGTTCATTTTGTTCAGAATGACCCAAGAAACCTAATAAAAATTTTTCAATAGCTTAAAAAAATAATGTTGGGATTTGGATTTAAAAATGTGTATTTGATGCAATTATGGGTTCTTTTTGAACAAGATCATGCATACGAAACCTAATCAGAATATTTTTCCGAGCAGATGTGTTGATATTTCTTGGACTAGAACTACTATGGTGTGACAGCACAGTTTTTGTATTCGATGTCAAGAGACAGGTACGTTATTGCTTTAAACTTTAAACTGTACTACTACACAATAATATGCATAAACGAATGGATGCTATCAAGAACTCGTACACAATTTGATGTACCTAGTTCGCAGTGATGTTAGCAGTTTTTGTTAGTTAGTAGCCAAGTTAGCAGCTGCTTGTAAGCATCATCTTATCATACCGATGCACAGTGGTTCAAAAGTCCTAAAACATGGCCAAAATTATACAGACTTACTGAGTTTCTTGAAAAAGCTTCATCCATATATTTTCGAGGTTGTCTATAACGAATATGAGTTTGCGATAATATGAATTTGTCAAAAATCAAAATGTCGGATCCAATATGGCGGTAATGTTCGGAATGGAAACTTAGGTTTATCGTCGTTGTTGTGATGAATCCGCCTATGTAACTATTTTTCCACGTCGGAGCTTTATGAGTATTTGTATAGTCAAATATGAGTTCCGTGTTCTGATATACAATAGTTTTCGTAAAAAAAAAATGGCGTTGTTTTTTTGATTTTTTCGAAACCAAAATGGCGAATCCAATATGTCTGGCAGACAGATCCGATATGGCTGACGAACATCTAATAAAATGTTTTAATTCCGCTGAATTTTGAGTTTTATATGTCTTCAAGGTATTTGGCCGATTATGTCATCATCTCATACATGTCAAAGTTGCTGTTAGCTGCAGCTAAAATTGACAAATTTCTTAACTGGGTGCCTGATAAGTGTGCTGCTATTATAAATAGGGCGAATCTAATGGCGTTCTTCTACACTCTTCCTGTATTTACCAATCCACTATAAATTACAGAAAAAGGATCTGTTGTCGTATCGTGTCATATGTTCTTGAACCAGAGTGAGATAAGTACTGATTCGGGTAATCACAAGATGGAAATTAACCCCAAAGTAGTATACCCATAAGAAAGAATCACATCATCTCAATTCGTTGAAATACGTCACTAAAAACAATTGTTAACAAAAACAGATAATACAGTTGATATGGAGTGAACGAGTAATTGTAGCTGTATCTATTCAAGGCATATTTTTTGTTAGATGAATAATTCTAGTTATGTAGTAACCATCACAACAATTTATTCTAATATTTTCAAATGACACATCTCACATCTATTTTACACTGTCTTTAGGTTTACACGTATCACGACACTTTGACAGCACACTAATTTTCTGTTGCACCTTTCTTTTTTTTCATTTAGCATGAGACACCAGTTTGCACCGAAACGAGACGTAAACGAGAACGAAGGCTATGTTCCAATGACAAACTTGGCGTAAGATTTTTTTGTACTTCATGTTTCTGTTCGCACATTTTTATTGAAGCAGCAATGTTGCCCTACACAGACTATAAGACATTGTAAAGATACATGTCTAGTCCATTGTACTTCAGTTTTACAGATATGGACTAGCCCTAAACGCATCAGTTCCTTTTCTTACACCATGTGCAATAATGTAAAAAATGAATTATAGTTCAAAAGATCTAAAAAACGTGCTTTAATAGCAAAACGAACTAAAAGGTAGAAACTAGTCTCCAAGTATAGGAGAGTTTGTGTAACTACAATAGAAAGTGTAACAAAAATTAAGATACCTATTAAAAAAAACAAATATAGAAAAAAGAGCGCTTGATATTAAACGTTAGAATTACTAGGATTATTTTTTATTTGCTATTGCCAAAAGTTGAAATTATTATGAAAATATAGCTAATTGCATCCCACCCCTTTTTACTATAATTGAACTTTATTCTTACAACAAATTAATTAGTGATACTTGGTTATTGGACTTTCTATTGCAGTAACACTCTTCTATACTTGGAAATTATTTTCTACTTTTCAGTTCGTTAGGGTGACTTAAAGCGTGTTTTTCAGTTTTTATAAACTATAATTTATTTCTGAATTTTTAATCTCAAAACGACAATAAAAGTACTTACAATCAAGAGGTTGATTTTTTGGTATATTTTATATTTAACAATGAATCTTGATTTACTTCAAAATTTATAAATCTTCCAATTATTTTACAAATTTTCTAAATATTTCCCAAATTTCCAAATCCAAAGTTCATTCCAAATTTCCAAAATATTTTTTTAAAGATTTTCAAATTAGATTTTTTTCAAGATTATTGTATTGTCATCGGTCCTTGACCCTTGTGCAAATTTTCAAGCTAATCAAACTTAATGGAATTGGTGAAAAATAAGCTGAACGATGCCGTTAAATACATACTGTACAGGTCAAGCTAATAAAAGGCGGTTAATTATACTTTTCGTAGTTTCAAAAGAACTACCATCTGCATTCTTATTTGATATATACCGGTATCGTGAGCCAATTGAACCGTAAAACTTTTTTCGGAATTTGTTAGAATGAATTTGAGATGTTTGTTTCTTTTGTTCACGGGTATTCAATATACAGAAAATAGAAATATTGTCGTAATCAGCGAATGGTTAGGCGCAACACTGCTGCTTTGTATTTGCTCTTCCATTTTGTATATTTTGTTTATGTTTTTGCATGCAGTCTGTATATGTGTTCCTATCAATTGTTTTAATCACAGTTTGTGCTATCAGATTTCCAGTTTACAGAAAAAATGTCATATTGCCATTCTGTGATGAATACAAACGTTCAGAATTAGTTGAAGCAACTTCTTCATACCTCAGTCGATGAAATTATTTATGTTTATGTTATTTCTGATCCATCTTCATATTGCCGAGTCCAGTTACTGAAGCAGTAGAAGATGAGCAAATTATTTTTCTGGCGCTTCGGATGCTCCGGTATCTTTTTTCATAGTGCAAAAACAGAAAATATTCATTAAATTGAAAGTTAATTTGTTGCTTAGTAACAAACAGCCAACCAAAAAGAAAATAACTTGCTGCTTCTCTGACAAAAATAAAAATTTAATTATTCTGTCTGCTTATTCACAGTTTCAAAAAACGTGGTGTAAATACCTATATAGCATTGATAGCACAAACAAAGTCATGCCGAAGGTCATGACATAGCTTAAGCATGGCGCACGCCCTTGCATGTTTGCAGACGGCACTGTAAGCTGTACCAGAGCCTCCCTACGCGCATGAAGCCTAGATCTACGGACATGTCGCCGTTGGATGGCATTACCTTTTTCTTTAAGGAGCACCTCGGTACTAAAGAAGACACCAGGAAGAACAGTTTTGTTTCTTCCACTTCGTCCTATAAATCTGCTGTATGCTGTGGCCTGCATAATGATATTCAGTACGTTTTTGATGTTTTTTTTTATCTTTTGGGTATGGGTATGTTTATAACATCGTGTTTTGTTACTAATACTTTATCTAAGAATCTAAACTGACCAGGGCATACGAAACTGTTACTTTTATCTAATATTTAAGCTTTTGTGACTTCTATTGGTCACTTGGAGAGCTAGTGTGGCACTTCTATACAAAGGAGATGACAAGGAGGTGAAGTTATGTAAAATGCCAAGAAAAAGGCGTCCTTCTAATGGAGGTTTTCAGGTCTACGCATGGCTAACTGCTTTTCTTCCATGTGTATAGAAACTTTGTTAGTTCACTTTGAAAAATGGTGCAAAAATTAGAATAGTCTGAGGCCTGTAATGTTCAAAGCTAATGTGTCCGAAAATAAAATAACTTTTTACGACTTTTTATGAGCTATTGAGGTGTTTATGTCTAAACAGTGTGTTGAACAAATTGATGTACGTATATCGTATATCAAAGGAATGAAGAGGAAATAGCGTATAATGAACCTTCGCAGGGTTAAAACTTGTAGTTTGCTATTTTACATAACCTCATCAGCTTTTGCCAGATTCCCACTTGTACTTTTCTCCGTATTTATACCTATACAATACTAGGACACCAAACGGCTGTTAAATGGGATCAAGGGTTGCTTATCTAATTCATCTTCGTATTGCCGTGGTCAACAAGTGAGACCATAGATGCTGAATCGGTTAGATTACAAGGCTTTTTCAAAGTACAATGCCAAAAAACTTGAGATTCAACTTCGAAATTAATTTTATATGTGTTTGACTGTCTGATATTATTTTGGAAATACCACTACTTAGCATGAGCACATCACATCCGCCACAACAAAATCACCCTTGTCACTTATCCCCGTTTACTTCCCACGTTTACTAGCGAGGAAGTATTGTAATCGTAAAAAAAGTCGAAAATGAGATATTGTTTTTTAGATATAATATGACATGTACGAGGCATGTCTTTTAAGTTTTGCATATGGAAATAAAACAACACGGTAGGTAGTTTTAAATAACTTTATTGTTTTTAGAAGTATTCTTCACGAGATTAATACACATCTGCATGCCCTCGAACCAATTTTCGAAGCACTCGTTTGCTGGCAGATCCAAAACGGCATTTTTGAATGTGTCAACTGCTTCTTCTGGTGACTGGAACCTTTGACCACGCTGTCTGTTATTAATTTTCAGGAAAGTAAAGAAATCGTTAGGACTTAGATCGGGACTATATGGAGGATGGACCAATAATTCCACGTTTTCTTCCGTTAAATACTGCCTTGTTTTTTGGGCTGTGTGCGACCTTGCATTGTCTTGGTGGAGGTTGATTCTTCTTTCGGGGTTGATTTTTCGAAGCTCGGTGATGTGAAGTAACAGTTCCTTGCTCATTAAGAGGAATTGTTGCAATATGACCCGCTTTTGACACAAATGTCGCGACCATCTTTTTCGAAACACTTCGAGAACGGATGACTTTTGTTAGCATTTCTTCACCTTGAAACACAGAAACAGGCGACTGTCGTTTATTTTCTGGTTCATAACAGTAAATGCACGATTCATCACCACTAACAATGCTGTACACATTTTTTGAGTTTCCAGAATTGAAACGGTCAAGCGTTTTTTGACACCAATCTCGCGATATGCCACATGTCTATCTTCAATGATGAGTTTGTGCACAGCATCGTCATTTTCCTGGGTGACTGCCAGTTTTTGGTGCACCCACCCTGGAATCGCCGCTAAGACTCACCCGTCCACGTTTGAATTCTCGACTGATGTGGCGCTTCGTTGCCGAAAACAGACAGTAACTCAGCAATGCATTCTTGTTGCGATAATTGTCTCTGAAAGTTGTAATAAATTATGGCGCGAAAATGTTCTCGGTTGAGTTCCATTTTTCTAATGACTTGGTGACACTTAAAAATTCACTGCAGTGAGAACCGTGCACGTATTGTTGTGAAACTTTGAATTTAAGTTTACTAAAGAGTGAGGTTAAGATTCAGTACTGACGTTCGATCCGCGCGGCCTACTATGTTTATACATGTAAAACTTAAAAGACATCCCTCGTACGCCACGAAAAATCATGCCACTCATTTCGGTCGGTCTATCGGTTGGTCTACCTAAAAAAATAAAAGTCGCTCAAATTTCGTTTTATGAATTTTCAGAAGATCCCGAAATTTTTTGAAATTTTTTAAGGGGCAAAACAATTAGGGGAAGGTTATTTAAATTTTTTAACTTTCAGTATGTTTATACGCACACTTCACACATTATAGACTTCCCCGTACATTGTCCCTTAAAACAGAAATCAGAAAAATGCTTATACGCGTCACTGCTTCTGCTGTCTGGAATTACCAGCAAGCGTACCGGTCTTGGAAAATGTTCTGGTCTTATTGCCTTGCTGCCGCGTCTGAAGCGTTATGCCGTCATAAAGTCAGGAAATACGACGTTGACAGATGGATGTATAGGGCAGGGAAAGAATGTGAATGGACTGACTTGATCCATTTGATGTCTCTGTTATACATATTTTTAACTAACTTTTTTCTCAGATGGTATAACTTGTGCTGAACACAATCCTTTATGAATTGATGACGGCGTTGCAGAGTCAATCTACTTGACGCCTTTTTTTCCAGGGAATCCGACAACAGCCTATATCACATACCATGTGCGCCCAAAGCCTTCATGGACGGCAGCGCTCATTCAGAGGACCTCATCTATCTGTCCACTGGAAGGGAGTCTGACCAGTTGAGCATCTCGTCTGCAGCGTCTAGTTGCGGGTACTATCCTAAACGACCGGATAGTGGTGGTACTCCGCTGTATATCCCGATGACTACGCCTCGTGGAGGGCATAGTCCGGGGTCTAACTGCAAAGTCTCGGTAAGTCATTGGAGCGTACAATGAAAAAGTTTCTGATGCTTACAATAACACGGTTGCTAAACTTTGTGGAGGCGCTAAACGTCTAGGGGAGTCTTGTTAAGTAAAGTTAGAGTATACTTATTATAAGGAAATACAGAAGATCAAAAAGTATTGGCCCACCTCCAAGATGTTCTTATGCAGGAATGGGTCCAAATAAATTTTCTTAAGGTGAACAAGTAAATATTTGTTTGTTTTTTCATTGCGCCAATACTTTCTTGACCCTTAAATTTCATAGTTCCTGTTATTATTCTTAAATCAATTTTAATTTGCTCAATCGATGGATCGCCATTTAGATGTTAGTTTGGGTGTGTAAATACTTGTTTGACCCACTGTAAACTTATTTTCAAAAATATTTTGAATATAGTTAGGAATGCCAAAAGCTCTAAGGCAAAGTGACCTTAACTAATATTCTTTTCTTGATGGTGATGTGACATCCATATTGTGCTAGTAGTACTACTGCGGCCACCGCTGCTGCCTGCCCATTTCAATTGTCTTCGAAGCACTAAAGTATTCGCAAATAAAGTGTTTGAATTAATTCACGTCCCGCCACCTTGATTACCTATCAGGACTAACTTTTCAACTTGCTACCTCCCTTTGACGCCTGCGGAATGCGGTCGGACGCAGCGTGGATCAGACTTTTGCATAGCCCAGTCAATCCATATTAAGTTTTTGGCATATAGCCACATGGAAACAAACCATTCAACGAGTACTATTTAATATATTAGTGCTTTGTTGGTTGTTCTTTACCCGAGACCTCACCCAAATATGCACTGTATGCAGATAAACTTGTTATTATTATTTAGAACTGTACAATAAAATGACCATGCTATAGGTGGGTCAGTGTGATAAATGTTTAACATATTTTTGTTGAATGTATTTAAAAGTGAAAAATGTATTTCTTGAATTTCTTTAATGTTGAATTGTGCTTCTTTTTTCTTGCCATGGTAATTCAGCTACTGCAGTAGCAGCATTGCCAGCTCTGGAATCTTTTGCAGCAAAACTTGCCTGTTGGGGGGGTGGCAGACATAATTTTGTTTAAACTATCTTATAATTTGAAACATTCTTGTATGCCTTAAGTTGTATATAACATATTTAATTTTTCAAGCTCTTTGAAGAAGTTCAGACCTTATAATGATATGACCATTTTACTTCAAAGAGATTCCATTTTGCAATATGCTTTCTAGCCAACACCTCCAAAGAAACCACCACGAAGGAATATATCTATTTCACCTACTCACGGGCAACAAATGTCAATGTCAGTGGATGGAGTTAGCAACAGCGCCTATGAGTACCTCTTCCTCGCTCATAGCGGCACCAGAAGTCAAGGCAATCTCAACGACTTTGATAAAGAAAATAGAAGGTGATGACCTACATTATATTTGTACATATTTTTATTTACGGAAATTATTCCCCTTCTTTGTTGTATTTTTTTCATTTCTTTAATAGTATTTTCCAAATTATATACAGGTGAAAACTTACCATCACGGATTTATCGAAAACCACTAAATAAAAGAAAAAACGCCGAGACACGTCATAAGACTTGTCAAGGGGCACAACTTTTTGACCAAAAACTACTTACCCTTCACTCTCGCCCCCAGGGTCATTCTCTTAAAAATTTTAAACGACAAGTGGTAATAGCTTGTTTGAAAGGTCTCTCGAAGTGCTTTATTTCGAGGTTTGATTTTTTAAAATCGGTCTATTCGTTTTCGAGAAAATTAGAAAAATCTTTATTTATCTTTATTTGTTCAGAAAACCAAAAGACACAAAAATATCACGTTTTATTTCAACAAGTGTTCAAAATGTTGCCGTTAGGGTTTGTCAAATCTACAATTCGTTTATAATTTAAAACTGGAATTACGTAAAGCAGTTCAGAAGATTAGACTTGGCAACAACCAAATAGCAACCCGAATTTTTTCCGCATTCTTTTCATCAATACAGATATCCTGGGCGAACTGTATTTATTGTTATACCTGTTTACCTATTTGTTACTAAGGGAAAGAAAGAATTTAATTTGTTGTCAGTTACCTTTGTGACAATCTTGGGATAGTGAACATTAATTTATTGATTCAGATTTCATTTCCAAAATAGTTTACATACCAGCCGAAAGAATGGAAATGATTCTAATTTATGGTTCCCAGAACAAATGTGCTCGGCAAACTGCCGTCATGTTTAACGCCAGACATCCGGGGAAGATAACTTTGCATAGGTATGTTTTGGACCTTGTTACTAAATTTACTCAATTTGGATCTGTTGCAAATAAAAAACATAATCATCGGAGAGTTTTGGATGCAGCCGGTCAAGTTGAAGTTTCGAGTCATTTTGGAATAAATCTAATAACTTCATTACGCAAAATTGTGGCTGCGACTGGTATTTCATTACGCTCCGTACACATAGTTGCTAAACTCCATAAATTTCATCCATTCAAAACGAAAATACTGCAAGAGCTAACCGAAGATGATTTCGATAGGCGAGTTGAGTTTTGTGAACAAATGATTTGCAGCAATTAATAATAATACCATTCATATAAAGAATATCTGCTTCGGTGATGGATGCACATTTTATCTAAATGGATTTGTTAATAAGAATAGCTGCAGGTACTGGAGCAATGAAAATCCTGATGCTTTTATAGAAGGGCATACCCAGTACCTCTAAAAATTAATGTATGGGTAGGGATCTTAGGAAACAAAGTGATTGGGCTATTGTTTATTAATGGAAATTTGAATGGAGACATTTATTTTGATATGTTGGAAAATACCATCAATCCGCTTATCACCGAAACCATTGAAAACCAGATCGCAAGGCGGCGTTCCTCCTCACTATGTTCTGCCGGTTCGGCAATGGCTAAACGACGAGTTTCCAGATAAATGGATAGGGCAAAGGGGGCCTATAGAACGGGCTGCTATATCTCCTGATTTGACGCCATTCGCCTTTTTTCTATGGGGTCATTTGAAATAGATTGTGCTTACTCTCCAACCTGAAAGTTTGGATAAACTTCATCAACGCATCATCGAAAGCTTACATGATATCCCACAACATGTTTCTGAAGATATCCGTCACGAATTTGAACATCGCCTATATCATTGCTTGGCCAATAACGGGCAACACTTTGAACACTTGTTGAACTAAAAAGTGATTTTTTCAAATCTTTTGACGTGTCTCGGCCTTTTTTTTAATTAGTGGTTTTCGGTAAATCCGTTATGGGAAGTTTTCAAATATATTATTATACTTTGCCTTTGTGATGAATAGTGGTTCAACAAAAGCTGAATTTTTTGTCGTTTTAGTATTACCTAGTTTTCAGATATGAAGTTATTTGCACAGTTTTTCATTGTCATGTAAATTTCAAGCCTTTGTGAAAATGATACGTACCAAAGACTTGACACTGAATGCGGATTCCAATTTCCAATAGCTATTGTTTCAATATCATAACTATCTACGGAATATTCCATGTTATCCATTGTGTAAAATGAAAATTTGCCCATCCTAAAATTAGTCTGATAGTTTTAGCTTCGTGCTTTCTTATCTGCGAATCACATGGTTTAAAATGTAAACTCGACTCGGTTGCGCTACGTTTGACGAAAACGTTCTCGGTTTTAGATAAGGTTAGGTATCTGTTTCTCCAATTTACGGATATTCCCTTGATGTAACAGATGGTTAAAGAACTATCTATTAAATCCTATGATTTAAGTGTCATACGATAGTTTTTGCAACCAAAGTCATCAAACCAGCATCGTGGATTTTTTATGCCACTACTCGTACAGTCCGAAAATATCGAAAATTTTGTCAGCCTTTCGGCTGATTTCTTTGTTCGCTCTACCATCAGAGACCGTCTGAGCCACGGCCGAAGTATGGACCAATATGTGGAAATGAACCTGTTCAACATCGCTTTGGAGGACGAAATGGAGCGGCCAAAGAGCGAACTGCAACGCGGCAAGAGTGAAGATCTAGACAGCAGGAGGAAAGAACCAGTGGCTATTACCTCTATGTACGAGAACGTCGTGGTGAAACAGCAGAATCCAAGGAGGAAGCTAAGAAGGAACCCGGAAGTGTATGAAGATTACGACTTCAGGCGGAGAAGTAAAGAGGAGCCGGTAGCGAGCTCGTCAGCTCCGGAGACGACGTTTGTGTCCAGTGCTTTCATTATGATATCGGGTGAGTGATGCCTTGTGTTTGCTATATTTTTTGTTGATGTGGATATTCGACAATGAAAGTCCGTTTATCTTTTGTCGTCCTTTTGATTTAGCCGTCCATTGAAAGCGTAGGTCTTCAAGTTATTCCTTATTTGCGGATATGCTCTTCTTTTCAAAAAATTAACTATTGGTTAATACTCTTTACTCTTTAGTTTTCATCCATTATTCTCAGTGTTTACTGTTAGAATTCCGAGAATTAGCTAATCCTTCTTTTTTTTTACCAAAGGTTGGTCTATGTGATGTGAGCATTTTGGAAGAATTCGGGCTGTACAATGAAATATATAATAATATATATAAATTAAATACGAGTAGTTATAAAAGCTCTATTATCTTAGCTTCGTTAATGCATTCTATATTATCTCTTTTTTCACACTTCCACTAAATTATTTGAGTGTCTTGTAATCTTGTATCAAGCAGTACACGATTTAATATATTTTCGAGTATATTTTAGACATCAGTTGGAATTGAAGCACATAATACATTATATAAAAGAGTTTTATGTTATTATATCCTCGTACTGAACTTTTATAGTATGTGATGTGAGTCTAACGTGACAAGTATTAAACAAAGATATTTGTGACGTACAAAAAGGGGGGTTTTGTGGAGTTGCTCCTGGCAATGGGTTAATCGTATCACCAAAACAAAGTTTGGTATTATTTAGATGTTCTTCAGACACTACGATCACACAAGAAAAAATATAGTAGATGCTTGGATGTTTTTTCTGTTTTTTTTTTCTAAAAAATGATGGATACAACAAATGCTAAGGAAAGAGTAACATGGCCTAAAATATTGCAAGAACTAGAATAATTTTAACAACGCTTTTTAGTAATTAATGATAAAAAAGGTTTTTAAAACTGAAAGCAAAAAGTCTAAAAATGGTTTAGGAATAACACAAATCGGAATAGTATAAAAATTTGCTTCATCTCTAACTGGTGTTGACAAATTTACATCAAACATTATAATCAGGTGATGAGGACGAAAAGTCCAACACCATTAAGGACAATAAGAAATCGGCGAAAAGGGACGAGTATCCCCTCTCTCCTACGCATTACAACCAACCTCCCACCCCTGATCATCCGCCGCCAACTGCCCTGCAGGCGGAAAATATCATTTATGAGAAGATTAGACCACTGAGTCAGGTGAGTATGTGAGAACTGCATGGTTGTTTTTCGACAGTATTAGTTAGGCCGCATACATTCGGAATAATTCAGGAATATTAGACACTTCCTCCTAAAAAAAAGTAGCTCGAAGTCTAATCCCGGCCATTTAGCATTGACGCGAATGGAGTAACAATTGAATGCTGTACGCTTTACATGCTGTCATCTGCTGAGTTACATTTAAATAAATTAAGAAAATAAATGCATTAGATCAACTAGTATCTTTTGTGGCTGTACAGCTAATCTAGCAACATTATCCGCAGTGCCACACTAGAACACTGTTATAATACAAATCATTCATTTGCGAATTCATGAATTATCGAAGGGTATGAGAAATGTCGTCCATGTGTATTTTTGGCAGAAAAAGTTTAATGGACCTGACCGGTTTGGAACCGAAATTCCGAATGGTATGCTGCTGTTCTTAAGGTAGCTTCAACAGGTCTTGTAAGCTATGGATATTATTACCTTCAAATTACATAGCTGAGGATACATAACTTTTCATTACAAGCTCATATAGTATAAATTTTAGATAAAATCTACTAGGCAAAAGGCAAAATAGTTATATATCTTTCAAAGGCGTTAAGTTGGCGCTTACGGTCCGCGGAATGTATTAATTATAGCCCAAGGTTCGAAGCCTACGGGCGCTAACATATCAAGGCAAAAGCATAGTTCACATCGCAATGTACGGTTGTAGATAAGTTATTTTTCTAGTATGTTGGCACAGTATTCAATTTTCTCGACTACGGTTGCACGTGATGGTACTCGGATTTGCTATAAAAAGAAATTGTGCGTGAGGTGGCCCAGAAAACCAAGTAATAACTCCCTCAGCCTGGAGATCATTTTGCAGTTACATAATTTCCTTGGTTATCCTGCTATAACAATTTACAATTTTGTTGGAATTTTGTATTGGTTTAAGAAAATGCCCATACTTAAATTGGACTGGGAATTTTATCTCTCTATACGCCTAAATTTATTTTAGCATTACGCGGTTGCCACTTGTTCCACTTTTCTAAAATATGGCACTACTATTGTTTCTTTCGACGGTCAGGCAGTTTTTTTAAAAATAAGTATGTTTGGTATGATCACATAATGTGGATATTAGATACACATTTTAATGCGATTTCCATCATCTAGTAGTAGTGACATCCTACCATGAGTGTTAAGTTATGATCACGGTGATCTCTGTTTTACTTGTTGCTTTGCTAAATTGCTTAAGCACATGCCTTTCAGCTATTTTCGTTGAAGAAGCCAAAGCTTGGGGAATATATTCATAGCTTAAAAGATTTGTACATATTTGCATACTGCTTTTCCGGGAAACTGTTTATCATGCAAGCTGTGATAACTAATTTTTCTTATTTAACAAAAGATTGTGGCACTGACAGTGTTTTGTTGTGTGTTTCTAAGCATGATAAATATTTTCCCGAGTGATGAAACACCAATGTTTTAAGGTTTAGCTAGCACATGTAATACATATTGGAGCACTTTTGCATTTTCCAGCTAGATTTAGTATGATAAGTGTACATTTGTATTGTGATAGGCAGTATTACAACTCATGTTGCCGACATAAGAAATAGTTAGGTATATCGAGAACCTGTTTAAAGGAAACCTTAATATCGAGGTAAAATTTTCACAGATCTCTCATTTCAACTTAATACAAAGTTATGGCTGGTGTTGAACGTAAACTACTGCTCTGAGCCTAAAATCCTCTCCCAATTTGGGACTTGCTTATAATGAACGACTAAACTGGAACTGCGAAAATTCTACCTTTATATTTTTAACACTATTTACAGGGTGGCCAATAATTGACTGAAATAAATTGCGCTCCATTTTTGATACAGGCATTTCAGTAGGTGGGCCATAGTAGTTGTTTAAAGCACATGTGTCCGATTCATCATGTAGCGCGACACGATCCCGTCCGTATTGTTGAAGCGTTTTACTTAAATAATGAGTCGATTGTTGCAACGATTCGGAAGCTACGACAAGATTTCGATCGAATTAATGAGCCCAGTGTCAACAGCATTCGTCATTGGTGCGCAAATTTGAACGAAAAGGTGAACTTAAAGACTTGCCAAGGTCGTGGTGTTCGACCTGTCCGTACTCCGGGAAATATCGAGAGAGTTCGTGAAAGTGTAGTGGAGCGCCCTGAGACGTCTACTAGACATCGTTCTCAAGAACTGGTTATTCGTCGCACGTCATTATGCACTATTTTAAAAGACTTGCATTGGCGGCCATACAAAATTCAGTTAACCTAGAAACTACTGCCTAGTGAACATGAAAGTCGCCGACAATACAGTCATGCAATATTGATAATGAGCGATGAATCCCACTTCGATATGAACAGATTTGTTTAAGCAAAATTGTAATATCTGATCATTAGAGAACCCTCGTATCATCCATCAACGACCACTACATCCTCGTCGAGTCACTGTTTAGTGCGGTGTGGAGGTGTCATTGGACCTTACTTCTTTAAAGACGCTGCAGGTAATTCCCTTACTGTCACTGGCGAGGGCTACCGTGATATGGTGCAAAACTTTCTGGCTCCTCAAGTCCAACAATTTAACCTGCAAAACATGTGGTTCCAGCAGGACGAAGCAACTTGCCACATAGCTAGGGAAACAATAAGTTTGCGAACAATATTCCCGGGACGTTTAATTTCTCAATTTGGTGATGTCAACTGGCCACCAAGGCCACCGGATTTAACGGCCCCTGATTTTTTTATGGGGATTGTTAAAAAAGTAGGGTTTATGCCAACAAACCAAATATTGAAGAACAATATTACGGAAACGATTGAACATATTCCTCCCGAAACCTACCAAAAAGTGATGGAAAATGTAATCAAGAGGGCTCAGGTTTGCGCGGCTTCTAGAGGCGGACATTTGGCTGATATATTTTTTTTTCGTACATAATTTCTAAGTTTCAATAAAATTAAGATGAAAAGAATGGACGTAATTTATTTCATTTCACAATTATTCGAGATATAAACCAGTCAGTTACATATCGGCCACCCTGTACATTTGAATCGTGTGCAACTCAGGTCGCTTAGTAGAAACACTTTTCGTAGCACCTTCACATTTTAGATACCTTGAATATGAAGGTCGAATGGTTGTAGACTGGTGGATAGGTGATAAGTTTTGTTAGTCAGTATTTTCGTAGCTCGCATTTGTTTTATGAAATATTTATATATTTTTTGGTATAAAGTAATTTTTGATAATCTCAATTATTATAGTACCACCATGTTTTGGAACGCATTCAGTCATTCAGTATACATTTATTTATTTTTTCATCAATGATATAATGATAAGATTGATATAGATTTTGGGAAAGGTATTAGATATTATCTTGAGAATAGTTTCGTTGTTCAAATATTTCCAATTTTGTATGTATTCATAGTTATCCAGTCCGCAATTACGATTTTACATATCTCTAAGCTTGTCACGTTCATGTATGAACAGAATTGTTACCTACTGATTGCAGTTATTTTTTATTTTAAATCAGTGTGCTTTTGGTATACGCTGTTTGTGTCTGCTGTCTGTGTATAAAGCATCATTGCTGTGTATGTTGTTTTGAATATCTGTTTATATATTTATTGTTACGTTCTGTCTGTTTTTAGTATTTTATTCGATTGTTGTATACTATGCAATAAACATTTTTTGATTGATTTCGCTTTTTGTTTTTTGTTACTAACATTTTACAGCTACTAACGTGCAACTATGCTAGCGAATTGAAGTGCAGTTTATGAATACTTAAATGCTTCAAATTATCTGTTAAAAAATTCACTTGGTTTTACTATTCCATGCCTTCATTCACAGCCGATACTCGAACCTTAAAAGCATCTCCCTTTTCTATTTCAAAGTGGGTCCTACAACTCTGATATGAAATTGTACGTTATGAGCAAGAAAGAATTGCAGCATTAACTATAAGTCTGCCAAAATATGTACAGCCTTCCGTTATGAAATAGACAATGAGAAATGAGTTCAAAAGCGTTTGAACCGCACTAATCCATTTTTCACAGTTAACAAAAATGACGTGAAGTAGGTTGACTCTACACCTCCTACGCAACGCCGTCATCAGTTCATAAAGGGTTCAGCGCAAGTGAGACCCTATCGAAATAATACAGAGCCAGAGACCTTATATCCTGAATAGAGGATAGTTGCTATGCTTTCGTTCGTTGTCCCAGAGACCACGCTGATGAGTTGCTAAAAAAGCATGAAACAGCTGTCCGTGGTTGAACGAAATCAGCATGTTCAAATTTGACCCTCTAAGAAAAAGTTAGTTACGAACATGTATAACACACAAATTAAACGGATCAAATCTAACAAACAGGTCCGTTGGTCCATATCATCTTTTCCTTGCCGTAAGGGCAGTACCGTCCATCTGGCAACGTCGCTTCGCCTCTCTCCAATATTTGAAAACATGTTGCGTCACACACAGCAGATCGCCCAGTCATGCAGGGTACATTCGTCGGTCTCCGGACGTACCGGCGTAACTAACATTTTACAAATTTTACAGGGGAGCTAGAAAACGAAAATCAGCAATAAATGAGATTGAAAATTACATACTGATTTTTTAGTCTGAACGTTGCGTTTTTTTTTTTGTATACTAACATGATGTAGAACCAGTTTTAACGCAGAGGCGTAAATCTATTTAAGCCGGTACGTGAAAATTGTTTTCGGAATTTTATAATTTAGGCAATTTTCTGAAAATTTTAATTCTTAGCAGCGAACTGATATACAGCTACGTCAGTTCGTGAAGTAAGAAACTACAAAAAAATCTGTGAAATTACGGCGTAACTCGATTTTAGATTATTTGTCATTTACGCCTGTACGTGCGGAGACCGACGATATGAACACTGGCAGGGTGGCCGCGGCTGTTGGAAGCCAACAGACGCATGGGCGGTTATCCAACACTTTTCCATCGTTTTAAGTGCAAATGTATGGGTCAATTTATGATGTGTCCGTAGAAATATCGAAGTTTGAAGTGTATTAATAAAATGTATCTCAATAAGAGCGCCGGATTTGATTTTCAAGAAAAACGCAATTTCTTTTCGATTCAAGCGAATATTTATATTTCAACATGAACAGGAATACTTGCGATTAAACTTGAAATAGGACATCCGGTAAATGGCCACCGCGAAACCTCTGGCACAGGGTCAGTCTTTTCTTAAAATTCTGGATAACGCTTTCGCACAACTGTGGCTCTATTTCGTCGATAACGCGCCGTATCTCTTCTTTGAGGCGTTCAACTGTTTGTGGATTGTTCGCATACACCTTTTCCTTCACATAGCCCCAGAGATTGCACGATTTTGATCGCCAAACCGAGAGATGGCACGTGACACGGTCTGGAAACTTGGTCAGCAGTAACACGATTGTTTCACGTGCTGTGTGGCAGGTCGCACCGTCTTGTTGGAAGAACATTAACAGTCAGACGAACAGTGATCTTCACATTCAGCAACGTGAATTTTGTCTCAAATTTTGTAATGAAACGGCGAACTGTCAACACATTTGGCGCTCTTGTTGAGACATCAAAAGATAGCGGAACACGATCCCCCACCCCCTACAACCTCCCCAATTTTTTTTTTAAATGATACTCTGAAACGTCGAAAACGAAGTTTGAGCTATTTTTGTTTTTTGTTTCGTTTTTGGCCTTTTTCTCCAATGCCACTGAATCGACTTCCGAAAATTATAAAGATTTGTTGTCCTTGGCAAAGTAGTAACCTTGTACTGAAATTTTATCAAAATCCTCAAGTTATAGACATGTCAAGGATTAGCGGACAGACACACAGGTGAGTGACATGGTTTTTCGTAATGACCGTGTCATATAACATCCAAAAAATGAAGTATCTCATTTTCGATTGCACTACTTTCTCGCCAAGTGGGGTAGGAAATAAAAATCAGGAACAAGAGAAAACATTTGGTCAACATTCAAATCATGCTCTGTACTTCCCGCACTTACCTGATACTGGCTTCTGAGATACCATTTACGAGGGCGGTTCAATAAGTACCCGTGTTAGAAATTAAGACACCATTTTGAAAAAAAAATTCCGAAAAGTCCCCTTTTAGAAAGATACACTTTTGCCAACGTTCCTGCCATTTTTTAACCATTTCAAAAAATAGGATTTGTCGAACTTTCCAAATTACGCCTATGACTCGGCTGGTTTGAGCTAAATGTTTTCTTCGCAAGTCATTGTTAGGGAACAAGAAAAAGTCGCAGGGGGGCAGATCGGGTGAATACGGGGGCTGCGGCTGCACTTCATGCAGTTTGGCGGCGACAACTCCGGATGAATGGACTGGTGCGATATCGTGGTGAAACAGCGCCTTCATTTTCGCCAAATATGGCCATGTGTTCTTCAATTTTTGGTCGAAGCGGTCCAATAAATCACTGTAGTTGTCCAGTGATAGTTCTTCCTTTTTTTGAAAAATCCATAAGGATGACGCCGTTCGCATCCAAAAAAATCGTCGCTATGACCTTTCCTGCCGATGTGACCGTCTTCGCCTTCTTTGGAGCAGATGCTTAGTTTCTGGTGTATATTGATGAATCCAGGTTTCATCAACGGTGACAACTCGATGCAGAAACTCCTTCGGATTTCGCTTAAATTGCTTCAGTACTGCTTCGAAGTTGACAGCCGCATCCGCTTGTTGTCAACCGTGAGCAATCGCGGCTCCCATCGGGCCGCCAATTTTTTCATCTCCAACTTATCATGTGAAATATTCATTGCCATTCTGGTCGACATTTCTACGGCCTGTGCTACTTCGCGCACTTTCATTCGTCGATCAGCGAGAATCATATCGTGGACTTTTTGAATGATTTCCTCGGTAACCACGTCTGCCGGGCGTCCTGGTCGCACCTCATCAAAAACGGATGTTCGCCCATGTTCAAATTCGTTGAACCAATATCTAACTGTGGTCATAGATGGCGAAGTTCCCCATACACAGCATCCAAATTTGCTTTTATCTGCTCGCATTTTTCCCATCCAAATACAAACAGCGAATTACCGAACGATACTGCTCTTTTTCCATCTTAGCGAAAATCATGAAACATTTATTACTCGAATGGCTACCAAATACAAACTAACCTATCAATCAGTCTGAAATTTGTTGTGCCGTCGTTTGATAGATGGCAGAACACCAATTTCTCTCAGGAACGCCCCCTATCGTCAAACACGGGTACTTATTGAACAAGCCTCGTCTAGTCATATAACGGTCAAAAGGAAGAGCAAAAGTTGAAACAAAGTTACTATACTCACTACAACCTTGTCCTTAACCTCCGAAGCTTTTCAAGGTCAATAGTACTTTAGCTGAAATACTAACGAACAATGATTCATTTAGGCAAGATTTAGACGAAATACCCTTACGCAATATTGACATTTTTTTACGTTCTTTATACTATCATGGTCACCAACACATGATTTCTTTTTCATTTATTTAATTTTGCTTTAATAAAGCACAAGCTGTCCAGCATGCTTAATATTTACGTTCTTCGTCGTAGTTTAATAGAGCACCCAGTGTAAAAAGGCATGATGTCATAGTCACTTTCAAACTATATAAAAAACAACCATCCTGGATCCACCAGGAGTACAAGCGTAGGAGCAAAGACATGGAAACCGAAACGGAAGACGAGTATCTTCTGATCTGCGATGAGTCCAGTGGTAGCTTTTCTAGCAGCGTTTCGCTATCTGATAGAAGTGTGGACAACATATTGGAAGAGTACCAGGCAGATGTTCCGTTTGCAGGTAGGCCTCATAGCAGGTTTTTGGAGACAGTTGTCCAGCAAACACTAGGTGAGATGGTTAGGTTGTATTTTGCGTGAAGCAAACTAATAAAAAGAAAAAAGGCGCCAGGTAGGTTGACAGTTCACTTCCAACACAACGCCGTCGTCAGTTCATGAAGCATTAAGTTTAGCACATTTTAAACCCCTGAAAAAGAAGTTAGCTACGAACATGTATAGAGAAATTAAACTGTTTACGTCAGTTCATCGGGCTATATGTATATAGCCCGGTTGACTTTCCCTGGTAGTTACTATCCATATGGCATCGCTGCCACTTTTCGTATTTGCCCGGCAGGGCCCAGCGCGGCATCGCTGCAGCTAGTTATTGTTCATTCCGTGCATGTTTCGTGTATGTTTTTTGAGCTGCAGTACAGATAGATTAGTTAGCTGGTCCAGTTCGCCGGGCGGTGAGCTCAGGATAGCAGAAGTACGCGGATCGAAACCATATCTCTATTATTCATTCAAGTTTTAAGAAAAATCTATTATATGTGAAATATACTCGTAGGTAATATGTGCATAGAATCACAGGGGTTAGATGCATATAAATATCATCAGAGCAAATATTTTCATATATCTTCCGCCCCTACAGTCTCCCAATTTCAACCGCTACAACAATTTTTCTGCAAATGATCAGGACGCTGAAACGTCGAAAAACGAAGATGAGCGATTTTTACTCGTTTTTGGATTTTTCCCCGTCGTTCCTAGGCAAATTCTCAAAAATACAGAGCTTTTTCGACCTTTGCATAGTAGCAACCTTGTGGAAAATGATGATATTTGGTTTCAACAAGATGGCTGCGCTGCTCTCGATGCGAGAGAGGTTCTGGAATTTTTGGAAACAATTTTCCCAGATGCCTGATTTCTACACATGGCAACATACAATGGCCAGCGAGATCTCCTGACTTAGTGCCTAATGATTTCTTTTTGTGGGGATTCACATTTTCGGTTTCCCCCATGCAATAGCTATCACTTTAGATGAGTTCAGACTGACAATAATAGAAGCATGCCGTTCTGTGACTCCTACCATGTTAGAAAATGTTCGTACAGGCTTCTACGAGAGGTTGGGTTACTGTCAAAATTCGAGCGGTACATCTCAGATTATAGACGGATCGAGGATTAGCGGACATACAGCCCGACGGAAATGCGTGACATGGCTTTTCGTGATGTACATGTCGTATAATATCCAAAAAACACAATATCTTATTTTCAAAACTTTTCGTGATCACAGTACTTCCGGCCCAGTGGACTATGAAGTAAAAATTAATGAGTCAGTCGGCCTGACGTTCACTCGAAAGTAGCCTTGGCATATCCTAACATGAATCATAAAAGAAATCATTTCAGACTCGCTTAAGAGTATGACAAAGTAGTAAACCATCCATCTATTGTGTTTGATCACAACATTCTTCAGAAAGATCTCCAACAACCATCATTATAGGTCTAATAAAAGGCTCGTCGAACAAAGTACTAGAGAGCATCAACTCCAACACTCCGGTTGAGCGTCCAAAAACTCTGAAAAAGTTGAAACGTGTCTACGACCACAACAGCGACGGTTTCAAAAGCGAAAGCGAGAAATCGTCTGGCTCTGATAGGGAGTTCGACAATAAAGAAAACCGGGAACGCGTGTCTGCGTTAAGCCCTTTCGACGAACAAGAAGAATGGGCCAAAATACAGGTAGGTAATTCGCCAGATATCGAAAAGCAGACGATATTTGGAGTAGAAATTTTGGACTTCGTGGTGTTATTTGGTTGTACGAGAAGTTATCTCTTGGAGCGAATCAAACATTAGGTGGAGCAAAGTATGAACCACTGACATATCACGCCAATCATTGTCATTTCCTAAGCGTTTCTTGATTTTTGGACGCATCCTTTGCTATCAAACATACCATCTTAATGACTATCTCATCCTTACCACGTTCTCAAACGTCATTACGTTTTTCGACGAAATATCAATGACTATCATTTAAGAGGTTGTATAAGGGCTGCAGGTAACAGTTATAAAACAAAAGTGTAAGCCTCTTGCAGCCGCTATAGGATATTTGCGTCAGTGCAAGATTCAGTTTTTGTCAACTATACAACTATCCTGTTACGTGGTTCTACTTCATTGCAACCAAACTATTTCTTATGTATTGTATAGATGAAGTGAAGAATATATAACTAACACATTACAGTCATCTTGTTTACTTACATATCGGCCATTGTGAATTTCATACACAGGTATATAATAAACTTCTACACTGTGATATAGGGCTATTGAATTACTTGCGCAGCAAATTTTATTGTGATTATCGTGCAAATTAGTTACCCAATTTCTACGGGCTTCGTATTTGATTCATATTTTGACAATGATCAAAAGTATGTCTAGATGTTGAAGATGGAAAACTGAACTTATCTGCGTTAAATCTCTCACAAATCCTATATTTAGACACAATTACACTAATGTTTATCTCTTTATATCTGTAATTTCGAACTGAAACATAATTATTTAATATTAAATAGAGGTATAAATGTTTGCACAATATGGCGGGTGATTGTGTACAATCATGCCATCGTCCATGTTGTCTTTAGGTTATTAGAATATTTTGGTGTTGCCTGCAGGTGTTATACAACAATTTGACAAATGTCTGAAATGAAATACCGACAGAGTCGAATGATTTACCAAGAATTTGTACCTGATCTATATCTTCTGTTTGAACAGTTGATAAAACCTTTTGAACCAATATGCAATATGTCTTAAAACATTGGTTATGGCATTTTACAAAAATATGACAGCAGAAAGTTAGGTTATGGTGAAGTTGTTTACCAACATATTTAGCATATATATAAGTTGTATAAGGGCTTCCGTTGGGAGCAATTTGTTGGCTAAAGTAGTAAATTGCACAGCAAAACAAGGCTCGGGTTTGTTTTATAAACGTTACCATGGATGCCACAACACAACCATTCTGACTAACGTGCAAATATGCCGTATAAAATAGTTTACAAACGTTTATGCAACAGTTAAAAATTTGCCCTATAAGATGTTGTATAACTATGCTATAATAATATTTTAAAGACCTCATCTTAGAGCAAATATGTTGCAGAAAGCAAATTTGGATTCCACACACATTAAGCCAGCATTTTGGTGTTCAGGCAACAACAATAGAGAGCTTTTCTGCTGAACGGTACTTTTCCCAAAAGCTTATACCACTACTTTGCTAGTTGGGCTCCCACGTCATTACGTTTTTCGACGAAATATTAATGACTTATACTGCGATTCTCCTAGGTCGTTTAAAACTAGGATTTTGTTCCTTCTGTTGCTTTAGCATCTTTACAAAATAATGCTCAAAAAAAAGAATTAGGATTGCAACGAAAGACAAAACCGACTCTGCTCAGATCATGTTAACTTTTATAATCGTATTACTACTCTCTCTAGGACGGTCGACTCTTCTTACAAAAATCGATTTGAAGCTATAGCAATCCATGAAATGTGGTCACGTCATTTTCTTCTAACTCATTTATAAGGTCTGTAAATTAAGTGATGAGACTGATTGTTTAATTTTTTTTTATTCAAATATAATTACGATGTTATATTAACAATTTCAAATAAACTTCATTCTGAATCCGCACAGCACTGGAGGTGGTTCTTCTATTCCTCATAGCACTGCTGGAACTCCGGGTGGTCGGTTACAGCTGTTTCAATGTTTTCGAATGTCCCAAAATTAGATCCCTTGAGGCGATTTTTTTTAGCTCCGAAAAAGTCACAAGGACTCAAGTCAGACAAATAAGGAGGCTGAGGAGCCACATGAATGTTTTTACTGCGTCAAAAACTCGTTTATTGACATTGCTGTCTGACAAGGAGCATCATTGTGATACAGTTGCTCTTGACGGTGGTGTGAGTCAAATTTAATTCTTTCCCAATCACGCGACAATCTGAACGCACAAGATTCCAGCTTCTGTCGATATTTTCATCGTTTCTTAAAAATGAAGGCCTTCCGCTTCGTGGTTCATATTTCAATCGACTCTCGACCTCCGAAAAACCTATCTCGGTAGGCCCGCTGAAGTTTAGCAAGAGTTTCCGTTGCACAGTGCACAAGTCTGAAACCTGACAGTACACCGTTGCTCGAAATTGATGACACTCATTTTTAGAACTCAATAGGAAAAACTGTTTTACAAAATCAATCGATACGAACAACTAAATAACTTGAGCGTGTTCAACTTATACTGAAGGCGGATCAGATTTTTCACTCTAAGCCCGGCTTCTCCAGTGTTGCCAGATGAAACGCTACGTTGCCAGTCTCATTACTTATTTTACAGACCTCATACCTACTTATATATTTAAGAGCATTTTGAACCCAAATTATGCCATGCCGGCTGGCAAGCGGAGCTCATTACCACGTTGCCTAGAAGGTCATGGTAATCAATCTTCCGCGTTGCCAATATGTTACACCAGTTCCTTGAATTATAATGCATGTTGAAAATATGCGTTGGTTTATTGTCAGGTCAGGATTGCCACAAATTCTGCAACATTGCATCATTGGTTCGCTTGACAACACTCTAACATTACAAGACAAGGTTTTTCACGTCCATAGATCATAAAGGAGCGATTTAAAAACGAGGCAATTGCAGAAATGGGAATTTCTAAGAGAATGCATTTAAATGCTCTTCGGGTATTACGTTGCTGATTTTGTGACAGGTCTGGATATAGAAATCGCTTTGTAATAAGAGTTTATATACAATTTCACACCCCAACACCAGTTTCCATAATCCAAAACAGTTCCTATGATATTCACACTATTGCCCAGCTTTTATGAGCAGACGAAGTTCCAAAGTTTCCACTTCAAGCCTTCATATGTGATTTTAAAACTGAAACTCTTTTTCTACGAAGGAAATAATGGCTTCTTTTGGTACGGGAGTCGTCCGAGAGTCGGTGTTTGTAGCTGAATTAGAAAAAGAGTTCCAAAGCAGGCTGATGACAATCAGCTGCTCACAGAACAGCTTACAACATACAGAAGGAACTCTCACTGTCGAAAAGTGGCTTCAGAGCATTGGCCTTGGCGACTATTCTGGAATGTTTATGAATAGTGGATTCGACGATATCAACTTTCTGGTGAGTACAGTTCTGTTACATTGTTTCCGTTAAATAGCTACAGTGCATCTGATTTGATGGACATTTGTATAATGTTATGGATAATAACGAATTCTTCAAATAATGAAAAATGCATCTCCTAATTATTTTTTACTAAAAGGCGCACCCATTTTTTATTAATAAGAAGTAAGGAGTGATTCGTTGGGCCTTACAAGAGAAAGATTTGTATTGTTGCTTTTCTACATGTCACACGTCTTCCAGAACGGTGTATTGGAGGAGAACGACCTAAAAGAAATGGGCATTACTAGTGAAGTAGAACGCCAAATTATCCTAGATACAATCAAACAGCTGCCATGCAAACTGACGCACGTATTACAAAACATACATCATAACAAGAACAAAGATCAGAACCCAGTGAAACTCTGGCTAAAGAAAATAGGTCTAGAGCAATATTATGAGACATTCAAGAAGCATTTATACCATGATATGGAGAGAGTAAAGAGGATATGGGATGTGGAGCTTTCGGCTGTGTTAGATATAGAGAAAATTGGACATAGGAAGAGAATACTAGCAAGTGTTAGTAGTGGGGAACAAATCACAACCGGCCCTAAGTTGGAGGAGATCAATTCGGATACCTTGGTAAGTCATATTAGCGGTCTACCCTTTTTCCAAAGTAATGATATCAGTAACGAACTATTTGAGGAGCTGCTTCAGCGTACGTTTTTATTAAATGTTTTCGATAACTATTTATTAATTTAGATTCTTTAAGTAAATTTTGGTTCAAACACATGGATACTTAATGTAAAAACAGTGCTTCATCAAAAGAAATTTCAACTTTTTAAGCGGAAATCAACTACTTCAACCACGGCCGTCAAGAAGGTTATGGAATTCTGTATAATATGATGCGCTAAATCGCTCCCCTTAAGTGCTATATAAAACGTTACAGTAGGCCAACTGAATCGCGAGCGTGACTGCTTACCAAGTTTAGACGATGCGCGTGCTGGCCATCGGGATGTCAATGGTGTGCTAACTGGACATCGTCTATTATTACAAATTAAGGCGTCGGGCTTGTCATTAAGACTGTTTATGAAAAATGACGGTTTGAAAGCCATTCTGGTCAGAGAAATATGTTGGTCATTTGGGACTACTAGTACTTGAAATATTGAACCCTTCGGTATGAAAGTGTGATGCTTATGGCAAAGTTCCTGGTAGTGGCAACTTGAGCTTCAATTAGGAGTAGTCCTTTACGCCTGTAGGTTCGTTTTTCCTGACGATCATGATCTCACTTCCAGAAAAGTACCCGTTCTTCATCTACCGAGGTACCTTCTCCATCCACCAACTCAGATATAGTAAGTAACACTGGGACAATAAGACATAGGCATAAAAAATCGAGACCTGCTCCTCCTCCACCAATCAGGAGATCAGAATCTGAGAAGCAATCTCCAGCTGAGATATACGTTGGTGGGAGTAACTCGATTAAGTCTCAATGGAGACACCAACCGATACTTCTCATTACTGGATATGTTAAATATGCTGCTATAGTAAGTGTGTTTGTTTTCTTTGTAAGTTAACAAGAAGTGTTTTGATCTACGAAACTTTAGCAGCCACAATCAATTTGCGAGCCTTAAATATTCGTTCTTTAGTTGCATTAATCGCGCTCATCTTGAAATAGGATATTTTTTTTCGCAGTCTGAATCAAAATATAAAATGCATGAAAATTATACCTTCACCACAATTATACTTTTTGGCTGGCTGAATGCGCGAAAAAAGAGATTTGCCATATACGAAAGTACTTCTCTACATTCAATACAATAAAATGCTTGATAGATACAACCTCACCTGTGTCCAAATTTGTGAAAAGAGGCATTGCGGTACTTTACATCTTATGTATTTGTCTGCCGTAGTATCTGGGCTCGACGATGATAAAGGAATTCAGGGGAACAGAATCTACAAAAAAATCGATACAGAAAGTAATGAAGTCTAAGGAAACCTCAAGTGAAGAGATATGTCTTTCGATTTCTTATCGAGGGGTGAAATTTATTAATCCTGTAGCACAGGTAAATTTGAGATAAATAAGGAATTGTCGTGCTTAAAGAAAGTAATTGGAAAACAGAATAACTCCGGGTCCATGGTCAATTCATCTAAGTGCTGAAGTCGTAAATGCAAGTCAAATGTATTGGTGAATCTGTGTCAGGGTATACGATGCATATAATAGCTATTCTATGAATTATTTAAATACTCTAATGACGCTGATTGTAAATGTATTGTTTACGAGCATTTGTAATCACTACTTAAAGCTCTTGCTAACTCTTTGCATTTTGAAAACACAACATACGTCAGAGCCAAATAGTGAAACATCCACTTACTCTTTTTGCACGACTCATAGTCCTTATTATGATGCCTTTATTCATTTTTTATGGGTTTAACGGTGGATACAACTAGGTACGATTTGTTAACCTATGTTTCAGAAATTAATATGTGAACACGAAATAAAAAACATGAACTGCGTTTGTCAAGATAACGAGAATCAATGCTACTTTGCCTACATCACAAAAGATGAAGATCAATACTACTGTCACGTATTCCATGCTGCTACTCCGGTAAGTCAATCCTCTTAACCTTATCTATAGGATTTGGATGCAAACAATTTATTGAAATTGGGTGGAACAACATATGTCTGTGTCAACAGCTGTCATTATCAATGTTTCTATCTTGCAAGAATTAGGACATCTATAAAAATACATGTTTTAATTCACATTCGTTATATCACTGACCACTTGACACCTCTACAGTGTTTTTATTTGCTCCATCTATAATAGCGTTCAATGTACAATTTCTTGATTTGACCTTAGTTCCGTATTTTTTCACATTAAACAATAATTCTAACATTTATAACGTCCCTGTTTGTATACTGACCTCAGTATTTGTTTTTTCTTCTTCCACATTCTTTAGGACCAAGCCATCGACATCATTCTCACATTAGGTCAAGCCTTCGAGTTGGCTTACCAGATGGCTCTACGTGACCAAGTAACTAGCAAAACAAAGACGCGCGAAAGCCATAAACCAGCTGTAAGTCCTGGAGCAGTTTCTTCAAATAGTCGCGATTTCAAGGACGCAGATGTAAAACTCAATGGGCATCCATTGAAAATGAAACCGCTCACGTTATCAATTGCCGGAGAACCACCTGTCAGTGGTAATATACAAAAGACGCCTACCAGGTCGAATACTACACAAGACTAAGAACAACATTCAAATATATTCGATACCTTCTTTTTTTGGTTAGGGTTTTGAAATACATAACATTCCCTTCTAGCATAAATATATTAACCTTACCCTTGAAGCCAGTCATTTGAATCAAATAATTCAATATTATTCATAGAAACAAGCTATTTAAATGGTTTGATAAAACGAAATCTGAGAGCCAGTGAGATAAACGTTGCTAAGGGACAAAGTGGTTTTGGTATACAATTCTTCTTAGTCACACGTCAAAATGAAAATGTCATCAATATTTAACAAAACTGTATAAAAACAGCCCAAAGAGCAAGAGGAGAGGTTAAGATGAAAAGGGATGATAACTGTATAGGCTTATGAAGTTTAGGAAGATAAGTAGAGTAAACTAAAATTTTTGAAGGCAAGCTGTGAAGTGAAATTTGCTGCAAAATTCCTAAACGCAGAATTAAATAATGGGGTTTTAGAGAGTACAGAGAAGAATTGTTGTTCTTAGATGTAATAGTTGCTATTACTGGTTACGTAACTGCGACAAGACACTGCCAAATATTCATAATAAAATATTATTGATTAAGAATGTTTTGCGTCGGAGACATGTAAGTTAATCATGATCTACACAAACATGACAATTTGGAATAGGTCCCTAGCACAAATAGTTTTTTGATATCCAATATTTGGAAAATAACAGAAGAACATACATGAGAGTTTACATCATGTATCCAGCTAAAATAGTTTTTTTTGTTATACGATATCTGGAAATATAGAGATCATAAAGATAATGCTTCTATGCCATCAATTTCGAGAAAGAGTCAGTAATATCATAGAACAAAGAAGACTAATTTAGTTAGTGTTGATCATGAGTTTCTCCTTAACTATCTGGAAAACGAACTTCTTATAATCAAAACTAATCACGATTGTTTTAATAAGCATTCTCTGTAAGAGTAACTACAGGCCAAATTTTAAACGTATTGGGGATAATTTGACAAAGACTTTAGCTATGCAGTAGTTGTACTTTTCCAACAATCAAGTAAGCTTCGGTACTACTATTGTGTTTAATTCAGCTGTTTCACTGAAATTATCCACTATAAGATAAATAAAGAACTGACAGTTATAACACTATACACAAACTCTTTAAATGTATATTATTATATAGTATTGATAGGTACTATACGTAATAAATCTCGCCGAAAATATTTGTCATCAATTTAGAAACCGTCATATTCCTTTACGTCAGTTTTTGATATTTTAATTTTAAGTTCATTTTACTACTCAGTGATCAAAGTTATGGGAATAAAAATACGATCGCTATATATACTATGATACCATACTCAGTCACTGTACATTTAGTACTTCAACTTCTTAGTTACGACCACTGTGCTTTATTATTACTTGAATTTTCGTTGTTGTTCTTTGAGTAGATATTTTATCATGATTAATCACTATAGGTTGTAATACATTTATAACATTCTGTGATTAGTAGCAGTTAGAAGTAATAGTTACCAAAGGGTGATCAATATCAAACAAGTGGAATTACAAATAGCAAAAACATAAAATCGCAGACTTCAACATATCCACAGTGAGCATGTCAAAACGACTTTTCCACGAAAAATATTAAACTTAGATACTGGGTGAGAAATGAGATGCTTGTTCACAGAGTAGCTATTCCTTCATTCAAATGCAAAGTTGAAGCTAAAAAACATATTAATAAGCGTTGTAATGATCTGAATTTTTGATATGGGTCACCTAAGTAATTTATCTTAATTTCTAATTTGATTAGTTATACTGCACCGTACGATTTTATGGAAGTGGCTAAAATGTTTGACAAGACTCTATTCCGGGTACTGAATCTCTTGTATAAGTGATTCTAAATACAGTCTTTTCATATAATTTTTGCTGCTCATTTTTTTGATAGTCCACATCATTATTGTAACGTTGTAGTTTATTTGGTAATAATGCTCAAAACTACTTTATACATATTAGGGGAGCAATATTTTCTAAGGTTTTTTATCAATATACATGATATTGCTACATGTACTACTTTTTTGCAGTCGTAGTTACAAACATATTCATATTTCTCTTGAAACGCAACTCTTCCATTTTTGTAACTGTAAGAACAAAATTAGTACTTTATAAATATGGTGTATATGTATATAATATACATGTTTAGAAATTATATAGAAGCTTTAAAATATATATATACTTATGTATTTAGCAGGGTTGTCTTATCCATAAGGAGCGAAAAATGAGCATTCATATATATTCAGAATCTCCATAAGCATTCAAAATGCTTTCGGTTAATTTTCCTTCAAAAAGTATAAAAAAGAAAAATCTTAAATGTTCACGTTGGAAATGAAATTCAGATTAATATATATATTATAACCTATCAGCCAAATTATTGATAAAAATTGCATTTATTAAGTAGTAGTAGTCAGTATTATTTTTGTTGCTGTTGATTTAATTGTGATTTTCCATGTACTGTTGTTTCATATTTTGTTATACTTTTCTATTATTTGAAATAAATTATCATAGTAAAAGGCGGAAGCTTATTTATCCCTTCCTATTACAACTACTTAGGATAATAGGTAAGACTTCTGATTTTCTAAATGGCATCAGGGGAGATAATCCCTTCAAGCAGGCAAAAAGATATTGTTAATTATTCTTTCTAGTGGTAGTTGCGATAAATAAAAAATAGGTTCGACTCACATTCATTCAAAGATTTCAAATAACATTGTGGATAAAATATGATGGATTTTTAAGGTAACAACATGTCAAGGTAGTGCCAAGTCCATAAAAGAGAAACCTTTCAAGCAAAGGCTACTCTAACAACTGCCACCTTTCCCTCCTGCATTTGTATAAGAACCCATCCCAGAGATATTGAGGGTGGGAGTTTACGCAATCAATGGTTGCAGGTTGCAGTTTATCCAAATAGTACATAAAATTTTATATTCGTGGAAAACACGGTCACATCCATTTAGAAGAAATATTTGTGGAAAGAGATACCTCCATCGATCAATAGAGGATAAATAAATAGTAAATTACATATCTAGGTCAAGAGGTGGATTGCTCGAGCACATTCATATCCTCGAGCACGAAGAGGCGAAGGATATAATGTGTGAGGCCAATAATAACCTTTTCAAGCGAGGTGTGTATAAATATTAGTGCCACTTCATATACCTAGGTATATATAGCTATATTCGATTTTATTTGATTTCATATCTTTATTTATTAACTTTATATTTACCTTAACTTAAATATATACCAGCGGTCATGACGGTTTTTGCTTATTTCACAAATACTCTCAAACATCTAGTTGCTTGCTGTCAAGCTGACAAGGTCGCATAATCAGATTTGGGCGGTTTGGTCTGCTTCACTAGCCATTTTCAAGGGAACTAGTGTGATAACGTTAATTGGTCTTGTTTCTCTTCTACAAGTTTTAAAAGGGGTCTTCCATTATTATCCCAATTGTAGAAGTATTCGAGTTATACTTAACATCAACAACATTTAGACGTAAAATTTTATTTGTCAAACTGACAATGATGTTTGTAGCTGCATACAATTTGCATCATTTACCTAGGTACTTTTTTGTCATAACGTTTACCTAGGGAGAGAAAGGTTACTTTTCAGTCAATAGCGACATCTCTGGTTAGTAATGGGAAAAAATATGTATGACTAAGGCCCGTATCGTCAGGCGTCCCTACAATGGTAGGGCGCCTTTATGGCCTCCTTGATTGTCATAGTTTTCTACTTCTCCGTGTCAGCGCTCTATTTTGAGGTTATGTCACAAACTTCTATTTGCATCAAATTGTGCTTGCTTTTGAGTTATATCATGTTTTATCAACCTGAAATTTCCTACAATTTAAAAAGAAAACATATCTTTACAATAGGAGAGCGCTGACGCTGACACGGGACAAGTGTAATCTAGAAATTTTTGAAGGAGAGAAAGGAGTATGACAATCAAGGAGGCCATAAATGCGCCCTACAATTGTAGGGACGACTGACGATACGGGCCTAAATCTAACAACCGTAGCATTAAAACTAGGATTTTATTCATGATGATATTTGCAACTTGGAGAATAAGGGTCTGATTTCATGATTCGTTTTTACTTAGATATGACCAAAAACGTTCATCCTAAGCATAATTCCCTCTCTAGCGCTTGCCACACGTGTCTAGAAATGTTACTTTACTACTTCAGAGAGTATTGAATCGGAAACTACCCTATTGTCACCCTAACTCTTTGCGTGATCACACCTAAGGCTAAGCGTTCCATAGTCTCCATGGAAGCTGAGTCCACATTTTTTATTCTGTATCATCGTTTTTTCTTCGCACACCAATTGCCGAGGAATTATTGTCATCGCGAAATTGAGGTACTTTTTTTGAATATCACATGTGCATCACAATAAACTATTTCACCCATTTCCATCGCTAATATTCTCTTGAAGTAGGCGACCGCAGACGGCCCTGCGCCTAAGCGGGCCTCGCAAGAAAGTTGGGCAATCCTAGGATAAAAGGAAATTGAATTCCAGAAGGCCGACTTTAAAAAACTACACCTCCAGCGATACTCGGCCCAATCCCCGAGTTGTCAATTATTTCTGGATATGCAAAAATCGTAGAGGTCAACATTGATGTAACGATAAACCGATGTATTTTTTCACTTTTGTAGAGCTTGATGAGTTAATGGTTAAGGAGCTTTTGACTAGCGACTGTAAAGATCAATTTCGTTATCTGTGTGGTTATTAACTATAACGTTTTTAGAATCGAAGTTTTTGTGAGTAGCGTAGCGCTTACCGTCAACATTCAATTTTATATTTTGTGGACTGCCCCTAGTTTGACTCATCATTTAGTTCCTTCAGTCTTCAAGTTACAAATTCAAAACAAATCCAAACATACAACAAAATCAAAAATTAACCAGAAACCACAAATAATGTTTAATGTGCTACGAAAATGTCAAACCAAAAATGACTTTAAGAAGTTTGCATACAAGGAGTGCTCTAATACCAAACCCATCTATCTATATTCAATTGCTCTAAAACACAGTCCTTTGAACTAAGGTTCATGCCTTAATAATTGTATACTCTATTGGAAACACTGATATTACCTCATTCAAAGTATCTGTAATCTCGAATCAATGTTACAATGTCGAGAGAATATGATGTACTGTTGAAGTTTGAAGTCTATATCAAATGAGAACCTTGTCAGTAATTGTAACGACTTAGGTGCAATACGTTGGAAAGAAGAAAACAGGGTTAGACAGAATTTCGAACTATCTAAAGAACTCCAGCTTTTAACAGCCAGTTCACTACTTACATAATAATCTAAATCATGCTCACAATCAGGACAGCTCCTTTGAAAGAAGGTTCTCAAAGTTGACGTTGATCAATACCTAACTGAAAACAACCACTCAGGCAGGGTAAACGCCAAAAAGTTTGTATATTTTAATTTGTGTTTGTTTACTTAGTTTTATTACCAATAAAAGCTCATTCAATTTAACGTTTTTTTTTTTAGTGAGAAATGGAAAGGGCCTCGCAAAGCTGATGTCGGTTACTACTATGCCAAAGATGAAAAGCTTTATAGTCTTAGAAAATCGACTCACGGGTGGCGGAGCTAGGGGAAAAAACGAAAAAAAAAAATAATTGAATCGCTCAAACGAATTTTGACGTTTGAGGAACTTCTGATCACCTTTGGAAAATTTTAGGTGGTCAAGAATTATGGGTGGGGCGTTGCCAGGAGTTAGTATACTTGTATGCCTCTAACCCCAGTCGTTCTATGCACCTATTAGGCTTATTTTAATATTTTACACATATATTTCCCTCTACATATGACCAATAAGGTTTAAAATGAAGTATTTCCAATGAACACGCAGAGCTCAATGAAGGTAGAACGTAAACTTGTCGCGATCTGTGCGGGAATTATTTATAGCTGTAATCCTGCCGCGGTCATTGCCAACCCTGTTTAAATATTTCGATGGAACACTGGTTAAATGTTCGCGGCGATATGGATGGGGGTTCGATCTAATGATGTAAGATTTACAGCTCTATTTATTACACAATCGCGACTTTTTTAAAAGAGGCTAACCTATGCCGACCATAATCTTCTAGGAACTGTTGAAAGCATTACAGTCAGCCTACTTTGCCTTTTTTGGGATAACAGCACATAGGTTTTCGAGCTTGTCCTTTCAAAGAGCTGTGAACAGCTCCTGATTTTTATGTATCCGTCAATGTATCACAGAGCGGTGGTTACAACCTTTGCTCTTGGTTGAAGTATCGTACGCCAGTAGGTCGACCAGGTCTGGTTGACCAGAAGCCAGACAAATTCAAAGAGAAAGAGCGAAAGAAGAGAGAAATGAAGGAAAGAGCAAAGAGGAGGGAGGCTGACGCTTGGAGGGGTGTTCTGGCAATGTTAATTCGTATTCGGGAATTTTCAATTGATTTAAAATCGTAGGATTTAATTTAATTCACAATCCGAGCCGTGGTCTTGTGTAACCTGCACGACTAAAATTCCTGATAATACTATTCCAGTTTCTGTTCCTGCTGGTATTCAGTTATATCTTGATAACTTGAATAACCCTCGAAACAACTTTTCAGAAAGCAACAGATTGCATCACCCAAAAAAATATCAATCCATTACCAGAACACTTAAAACGTATCAGACGAGTACCCTGTTAACCGACCTCATCCAAAACATGCCTCCCAAAGGCAATCGCAAATGCCATTTACGATCATCGGACGAAATACAATAACTTACCCTGCAGTCAATCGTAGTCGAGCCGTAGCCCCTTTGCTTTCCACCCCCTGTTTACGAGGGTAATTACAGCACTCGACCTAACCTGCCGGTAATGGAAACATTCGACGGAGCTGCAAACAGGCATAAACAAAATTGCAGACGAAATCGAAGCAGCAGATTGTCGAGGGCTCTATACGCACATAGAAACACGGACTGCTGTTGTGCTGTTTGATCTGTTCGGACGGACGACGGAACTGAAACAAGTGTAGGACGGGGATGAAACAGTACGGTTTGTGCAGGGGCGGCGGAATGGAACTTCACAGATTACAGGATCATGCATTGAGAAGAAATTTATTAAAACCATTGCAATCTTAATAAGGACAATTAAAAAGTCAAGTGAACTGTGTGACAGCTAAGAATATTAATTAGTTTAATAAAACTTCAGTTTATAAAACAATTTACTTGGATCTGTAAAACAAGTTAAACAAATCAAAAAGCAATGGTTAAATTGAATTCATTAAACGGTTTACTTAGATTGAAGGCACCAATTTATTTAAAATATTAACACGAGTTTACCTTATCCAAGTAAAACAATTTAATTCATTACATTTGTTCAACTACGAGTAGTTTAGGTGAATGTGCTTGCCTATAATTTTTTTTTAGATTTACAAGGGTATTTAATTTGCACTTTACTGAATGATGTGTATCGTAACTGTGCTCTGACAAATCTTAAATATTAAAAAATTGGAT